GCCTACTACCAATAGTGTACGCCCATGATAGCTCGGTGGCGCGCACAACGCCGCGCGCCGCGAGCCCCAATCGTCGTGAAGCTGTAATGAAATTTTTTCCCTAAGTTGGAAAATGAAAAGTGAAAAATTTATCCATTAACTACAATGGTAAAAATTTTCACTTTTCATTTTTCATCCTATGGAAAAAGTTTCAAGATCGATACCCAGAATGCGTCCTATACTACTATCTCTAATACTACTGGAACGCTTTCTGTCCTTTAAAATGACATAATAAACAGAGATAGCTACTTTAGGTATCGCTGTCCTTCATGGCGCATGCGCATTCGGCCGTCGTACATTCAGAATCAAAACTATTGTTGATCCGAAGATTCAGAAGTGAATCGGATTAGTTAATGAAATGCGCAGACGCATGGAAAGCACTCTTGAGTCAGACTGTACCGACAAGGACGAAGTAACCTAAACTGAACTGATGACTCTCTTTGGGTGTGTTCGGGGAGACGCTATTCACGCTATGAACGCAAACGCTACCAACGCTGTTCGTAGAGCCAATAGCGCGATAGCGTTTGCAAGCTCCGCGAACGATCCTGCGTATCGTTGGTAGCGTTTAATATGAAATTGGGAATGCCAGTAAAATTGAAAACTAACCTCCGAAATTTCATACGCTGGTATGTACGACCGATTAGATTATAATCGTTGATCTGGGACAATTGAGCATTACTTTAAGCCGGAATCAGACTACGCATTGAAGATTGAGATTGAAGATTTAATTTTGGCTAATCAAAATAATAGGAGTTAAAATTTCTTTATCCTCATTGGTCAAATTTCAATTTTCAATCTTCAATCTCAATTTTCAATGCGTAGTCTGATTCCGGCCTAACGATTTGTACGAAGTACCTATGTTGGACGAAATTGGTGCGGGGAGTCCTGACCCTCGTAGCCGCGAGAAAAAGTGACTCTGGGGACATCAACCTAGAAGATTGTAGTAAACCAAAAGTGAAACCTCTCATCATCATCATCATCATCAATTAATTTCAATTTCAATCTCTGCAATTGATGGCTTGCCACTAGGCCAGATTGAGATAATTCTTGCTTGTGTATCATCTTTAACTTTTCAAAAATAAAAATATTAGAAGCTGGATTATAATAATCCTGGACCTTATGTGAAATTGTCTTCATGATCATTTTGTTATCTACAGCTCCGTAAACAGCTTATAACGCTAAATAGTGCAAAAAGCAGAACAAAAAATCTAGAGTGTTCGATACTGGTTTTATGCTTTAATTTGTAATGGAGTTGCAGGCAAGAAGAGATTTAGTAATAATATTAGCATTAGAGATACGAGAATATTTGGAAGATGTGTCATCAACTGACAGCGATATTGATGAAGTATTGGGTAATATCGATAAGTTTAATAAAAGAAGAAAAATACCCAGAGTACATAATTACGTTGAAATGATAGTGCCAGCGTTGACAGGTCAAGACTTTAAGGCTCATTTTAGGTATATTTATATAAATAATATCTTTCTAAAAATATTTGTATTAAAAAATTATTATGATCAAAAAATAGTTCACTTGATTTGAATAGAAAATACAATATTTAACTATAATAAAAAGTGATTAATGTATCACTTAGGATGCTTCCTGAAACATTTGAATATATTTTATCTATCATTGAGCCTAAACTACAAAGAGAAGTAGGAGGAACACCTACAATTTCTCCAAAAAAGCAACTTTTATTAGCATTATGGAGACTTGCTACCCCGGATTCTTTAAGGTAACAAATAAGCACTAAACAGACTTCTATTTAAAGCGGCGCGCCGCTTATATCTTTGGTCAAAGCTGGGATTCAATTGCATAATTTAGCCAATTTTTAGCTTAGTTCTTACTCCTTACTTCATTAACCAACGCGCAGCCTAAATACCGATCGGCATGATGAACCAAGCTAAAAATCAGTCGAAATGTGCAACTAAATCCCAGCTCTGTCAGATTAATGCTTGTATTGATTGATAGTATTGTTTGCATAAAGCGGCGTCTACAATGACATTTTAAGACGTAAAACTTAAGTTTTAACATTTAAACCATAAAAAATAGACCAATTGTTGTTCTCCTCACATTCGATTGTAATTGATCAATTTCTTACAACTTAAGACTTAAAGTTTAAGTATTACACCCTAAAATCTCGTAGACGCCGCTTTATGCAAACAATACTATCAATCGACACAAATATTAATCTATCTTTGTTTAACAAGTAGACAACAAAAATAGAATGATGCGTCTTTGTTGATTTATGTCATTAACTAGATCCCAATTTTTACAGGTCGATTTCTGATCGATTTGATGTCGGTAGAAGTACCGCATTATATATTACAAGACGTATTATAAGTGCGATTAATAAACTGGCGCCAATTGTAATAAAGTGGCCTAAAGATGAACGAGTTCAACAATTATGGACAGGTTTTGAAACTGCCAGTGGATTCCCAAAAGTTATCGGTGCTATTGATGGCACTCATATTAATATTCCAGCTCCTAAACATAACCCAGAAGCATATGTTAATCGCAAAAGTCACCACTCAATTCAGCTTCAGGTAATATACCTTTATATTCCACTAGAATATTTGATGAAATCATTTAAATTTCTTACAGCCTTCTTGTTTCACAGTTTTACAAAACATTGTTTTTCTTAACAGCAAAAAATAGAAATATACTATAATATAGAAGAAGACTAAAGAAATTGAAATACTTTTATCAGGCATTTTAATGTTAATGCTCTCTGTGCAATTTAATCTGTACTGTTTTCTTTTGCAGGCTATATGTGATCATACATGTAAATTTACTCATTGTTTTGTTGGACATGTAGGATCTGTACATGATCAACGAATATTTCGTTTGTCTGAAGTGCAATCCTACCTTGGAGATGTGTCAAAATTTCCAGACGAGTGCCATTTAGTTGAGGATCAAGCTTATAAACTACACGAAAATTTGTTAGTGCCATATAGAGATAATGGCCACCTGACGGAACGTCAAAGAAATTATAATTTCCTTCACTCTTCTGCAAGAATAATTATTGAAAGAGTGTTCGCGCTATTAAAACAACGTTTCCGAAGTCTTCTTACAGTACTTCCGATGACTAGAGTAGATTTGATTCCGATGCATATTCTTGCATGCTGTGTACTACACAACTTGTGTTTGATGAGAGGTGATGATCTCGATTTAGAAATGAATGAGGACATACAGGAGATAGACAATATGATCAACGGAAATGTACGGGATGCTGCTCAAGCAGGTATTGCAAAACGAGATTTGATAGCTGAAAGATTACGAATGAGAAATGTATAATGCTTATTTCTACTAATTTTCTAAGAATGATAAACAGTTAATATTTACCAATATGCGCAATATAATAAGATAATAGAATAAGATAATATAAATAAGATAATAAGATAATAAGAATAAGATAATATAATTAGATAATTAAGTATAGTATAGATATAAAGAATTAAAAGAATAAGAATAATAAGAATAAGATAATATAATTAGATAATTAAGTATAGTATAGATATAAAGAATTAAAAGAATAAGGGTCTGCGCACAATGGAGGAACAGATATTAAATATTAAAATATTGACCTATCAGAATCGTGTATTCCGGTGTAACTGGTATCTGATAGGTTAATATTTTAATATCTAATATCTGTTCCTCCATTGTGCATAGACCCTAAAGATAATAAGAATAAGATAATATAATTAGATAATTAAGTATAGTATAGATATAAAGAATTGTATTCTTTTACGGATAGAATTTATTACGGTAAATATTTTTTTCATATAAAACTTTATCACTTGTGTCAAAGATCGATTCTCTTCGTTACTGAACTCTTATACTGAAATTCCTTCACATCAAGAGAATTTTTTCGCTTTGCTTACTAATGTTAATATTTTTTAGCATCCACCATGTGTAAATATAATTTGCGTTTATTAACATTTTATACACTCTGTCTTCAATAAAGTAGGTACATTTTCAAACACAACAATTCTTACAAAACACTTATTTTCCTTTACGATACTTATAATACTGTTTAATTATGCCATTTGACGCAAACATTTTAAAATTAATATTGCATTCTGCACTATACAGACTAGGTGTTTGCAAATTCAAATGCAGATCAAAACATCAAGAAATTAAACTAAAACATTTCGGTTTTCTTAAATAATAGTAAAATAGTTATATCTACCTCTATAAATAATCTTTTGTACATAAAGCATATGTAGAAAGGACATATACAATATTGAAAGAACAGAATACAAACAATAACTTCTCATCTAACAGTAGAGCAATAAAATAAAACAGATCAGTCCAAACTACCGTCAAATTATTTGATTTTGAAAAATAAGTATTTTCCTTCACATTGAGATTTTAAAAGCGAATATCGCAAAAAAGAAACAGAAAAAATATCAAGATTGTTTAATGTGAAAGCTATTTATATAACGTTGAGCTCAATCAGTGTGTCTGTCTATATCTTTTCTATAAGTTTATCCAGTCTATGTAACAGTTTTGTTCCCATTTCCATCTTTTCTTTATGTCTCTTCTCTTTACTTTCTTCAGCTTTTCGTTTTTCTTCTAATATTTCGATAGCATAGTTATCTGTAGCTTTACGTTTACCTAAAAGGAGAAATATTTTTTATATCTTACAATTAGTGTCTAATTCAACTAACAGTTATTTACGAGAAATTATGTTGGGTGAACAAGTAGAACTGCAACTGCTATTGCTTGGAGATATTGATCTTTCTTTTAATGTTACACATCCAGTTGACGAAATAGTTGCCAATGGTGCCATATAAGGTTTTTCTCTAAGAAGGTTTTCCATAATCTAAGTAATTAATATTGTATAATACTAATTGTGAAAGTGTAAGAGGGAAGAAGTTACATAATGTTATGTTAATTAAAGTAGTACTTACTTCATAATATTTCCATGTGCGCGTGTTATTACCAGATTTTGCGTTATGATCTTTAATTGTCTTATATGTACGTTTCATTGTATTTATTCTCGTCATGCATTGTCTACCAGAGACATTATATCCCTTGGCGTGCATGGTTGCCGCAATTTCATCCCATGCTTTCTTATGACTGATTTTACCTGAAGACATGGAAGATTCTCGTTGTCTATACTCTTCAAATAAAAGCATTATTGCCTCATGAGACCATCTGAAATCTGTAATATAAATCATTACGACAAAGAGTATATAAAAGAAAAAATAGAGATAACGTATTCATAACAAATATGATTTAAATTTATATTGTAAAATTTCCTTACTTTCTTTATTTTCTATCGATTCTTCTTCTATTTCCTCTTCTGTTTGTCTTTCTTCAGAAAATGACACATTCATATTATCTATAAAAGCAATGTACATAATTATCAATATTCCTCTACATTATTCTACAACGTCAAAGAAAAGAATTAGATTAGTTACGTACTAAATGTTTCCTCTGACGGAGTGTTATTTGAGATAGTAGTCTGTATAAGTCCAGAAGCACCTTAAAAAATGTTTTTTAATATAAATTATATAATTTGCATACTAATTGTTTTGTTCATGCATCAAATAATTGGTACAAATTGCATTATTATCATAAGTGATGATTGTTTAAAAAATTCTTACCAAATACATTATTTCGATAATTGCCTTGACGTGCAACATTCAACAAAGTTGTTGCAAAATGCAAATCTGCAAATGTAAAGTAAGAAAAATATTAAAGCAAACAAATTCATATCTTCTTAATTCTATAATTTCTGATAAATTTTTATTGTGATACATATTAGGTGCTTTTCAGCAAAAGTCACTGACGACACAGTGATACACAGTAAATTATTTCATCCTTGTTAACATTGGCAACAAGGATTCACTTGTATTATACTGTCGTCTATGACCTAGTTTACACCCAGCCGTCCAATCCCGATTCACTTCGAAGTAAAGTGAAATTTCTTGGATGTAAACGAATTAGTTTTGACTGATTTCAGTCCTCTTTTCTCAGCGGAGTATAGCGAATCCGGTGTAAACATTCCTTCACTTCGAAGTAAATCGGGATTGGACGGCTGGGTGTAAACTAGATCTATATCTCTTGTTGAAAAGCATTTTTCATCTGCAGAAAGATATTCGTATCGCATGCATTAAAATTTACAGATTCATAGAAAATAAATATAAAAAAGAGCTAGCATTTCATAATTAAATTAATATTGTGATAAAAGCCATCTAGAATTAGTTATATTAATATATATAAATAAATAAAAAGTGATTTAAATGTTATAGAATTAAACAAAATCTTGGAAATTCTGATTTGTACAGCACAATAGAATAAAAACTGAACAAAATCAATCACAAAATTAAATAACTATAATCTACTACTGGTTTGTTAGGTAGAAGGAACGTACCAGTTCGTGCTTTATAAGCACTATTCGGTGAGAGTTGCAGTTTATAGTTTTCATTTGTCTCCAAATCTAGAAACTCTACTTCTTCATAATTAGCCATTATAACCAAATCGTAAAATTCGAGAATAGAGGCCCAGGGAATCTATATATGGACAACTCAGGACGTACATAACCCTATAAGAAAATTCTTGAACCATTCGACCAAACACAACAATGCTGTTCACAGCTTGCAAACACTAACGCTACCAATACACTACCTCGGAAGGAATAGCGTTGATAGCGCGCAGTTGTGACGTAACACCCTACTATTAGTGACATCACGATCGTGTTTGTTAGCGCTATCTGCAGCTCCGCGAACAGTTTGTAGTGCTAAATAGCGCGAATAGTGTCTCCCCGAACGCACCCTTTGTCTATTCAGGCGGATGGGTTCCAGTAGTATAGTTCAGTGTTGGGCCATCCAAATTTAGAAGAAGAAGTATATAGATTAGTGGTTGCGGATTTTGACATTAATAAAAGGTAATCCAATATTTTGGAACTGAATTGTGTGCCAAAAATCTTATTAAAATATTAATCATAGGATATTATTTGGCAATGTAGTTAAAAATTTGAGGGCCTAAAAAACGGACGAAAAGTACCTCTTTATTGAGATCACTCTTTATATTTTATGCAAAGGTTATGTTAAGTTTAGATTGTTATTTTATTTCAATCTTATAATATTATAACTTTATTACTGTTATATTGATACAGGTGAAGGTCTAATTTCAATACTAATCGTGCAAAAACGTGAGTATAAATAGTTATTATTAATATTAACATCAATATAAATTTACTGTGGTTATTACTATAAACAACATATGCTCATTTCAATCCTTTTTTATTTAGTAATAAACAAAGGAAACAAAAGGATTGAAATGAGCATGTACAATCATATTTAATCATATTTAATCATATTCAGATCTTTAATTTTATTGATTAAAATCTTTAATTTTATTTATTCTAATATATTGCAAAGAATATCACGTAATGTTGGCGTTTCGTCCCGGCTTCCAATATTACGCCAACATTACGTGATATTGTTCTCTCATTAGTTATAATTCATTGAGCCATTATTACAATTTAAATTTTAAATCACGCGGGCGAAATGATGCGTTTAGTATTACAATTTGATTTAAGGGGACGTTATTTCAGATGATTAGGAGTTGCGTTTCAAGACCGACGATAGTTCGGCGCGCAATTTGAGGGGATTTTTCAGATAGAGTTGCGTTTTAAGACCGACGATTGTTCGGCGCGCAATGTGAGGGGGGTGGGAGGGGAATACATTTAGTACTTTAGATAATATTGCGAAGAATATTACTACGTCGATCCGCCATCAGAGGTCTATTGATACTCGCAAATTCTCGCAAGTGCTGGGACACGCGTATATCTCTTTATATAGAATCTCGATTTAATAACTTACACCGGCGTCTAAGGTAGGCTTCCATTACAATACCTTACTGATGAGTCCAGTATTGGAAGCCGGGACGAAACGCCAACATTACGTGATATTATTCGCAATATATTAGAATAAATAAAATTAAAGATTTTAATCAATAAAATTAAAGATATTAATGAATCTTTGGCTCGTAGCCCTGTTCTCACATATTATTAAATACAAATTTTTCTTTTATTTTATACATTTTAAAGTGTTTATAATACTATATTTACAACAGATTTTCTATCTAACTGCATAATACGAGGGTGATAAGTCCATGCAAAGTTTAAAATGTGGCACCATCAATACGTTTCAAGATTGGGTAAAAATGTAGATTAGGGGAGCCTCCCCCAATGACCTTGACCTTGACATATGTTGTCAAGGTTATGACCCTGAGTGACCTTGAGGAAGTTTTAACCGTCGGACCTAACTCGTTAAAAAGTTATTAACAAAAAAAGTTTCAAAATTAACGTATTATTTCTGCTATACATGTATAATATGAAGTCCTATTCTACACTTTTCCCTGTTCAGAAACGTTGAACTTTCCACGCGAAGTAACTTTTACCCCTCCCCCCTCCCCTGCACAGGGGCACACGACTTCTACGATTGTACTATTGCTGTGATTGTACTGTCGGGGCAGACCTCTGTGACGGTGTGGGTGCGGGGGGGGGGTGGCCAAAGGCCGCCCCCTTGCACCCGCCCGTCGCCCGTGCGTGCGTGCGTGCGTGCGTGCGTGCGTGCGTGCGTGCGTGCGTGTGTGTATAAAATATCAAGTAATAGACTCATTGTTAGCTCCTAATGCTAATTACACGTTTTGCATATTTCGTTTATCATTACCATTTGCGTGGTCTTACCGACCTGCCTCACAACTTGCGCGCGCTTCCGTGGCGCTACTAGGATCTACTGGGCCTTGCGTGCGGCCCTCGTGTTGGTCGTTGTTTTTGTATCAAGAAGTTAGTTACGTTTTGTAAGTCACGCCATGAACGTGCTCTTTGTTCAGTTGTCTGATACTTTGTAAAAGATCGATTATGTTAAGACGCATTAAAGTAGAATTTAGCAGAATCAGTTGTTAGTACTCTTTTTTCGTCCTGCATAATCAGTTACTGCAATGCCAACAAGGTACGAGATACAATCTCAGTCTACGAGAAAACAGCGTTCCACTTAACGCGAAAGAATACAAGTTTCTTTAATCAACATTGGTCCTTCGAGCCGGATACGCGGATACACAGATATTTCGCGGATACTAGGATACGCGGATACACAGATATTTCGCGGATACAAGGATACGCGAATCCGCGGATACACAGATATCTCACGGATTGCACGAATATTTCATGAATTTCCGTACACGACGGATTCTTATGGATTGACAAATAAGCAATTATTCACAAGCATAAGTTGCGAGGTAAGAAAATTCCGCATAATCGCAAGATAGTTTCATATTGCATGCAAATAGACGTTCGAAACATCGAAGTCTTTGTTTGATTTCACGGTGACGCCATACTGCGTTCATCATTTTCAATTCGCATTAAATAGACGTTCGACACATCGAAGTCTTTGTCTCGGTACATGGTGACGCCAGACTGCGTTCATCATAGACGTTCGACACATCGAAGTCTTTTTCTCGGTACATGGTGACGCCAGACTGCGTTCATCATTTTCGTTTATCATAACCGCCATATTGTGCGTTCAATAAATTAGCCATTTTTCTCGCGAGATGCCATTCTGCACCTTATCGAAGTAACATACAGTTTCGCATACAAGGGCGGCCATTTGCATTTTCATAGAGCCTCATTGGCGGAATTATCACATTCCAACGATTTACGATAGTATTTCAGTAATAGCGCGCATCATAGTTAACATTCGCAATGGACACACTCACATTGTTAGACGCGAAAAACAAGCGTGCACATATAAGAGCGGCAGCCACAAGGCTAAAAACCTTTATCGACAACTTCGATCTGGACAACGGTTCGCGACATGATCTAACTGAGCGCAGGCAAAAATTGTCAGATTTATGGAATCAATTTGAGGCAGTTCAGTGTCGTATAAAAATGCTTGAGAACGCAGATCCCTTGATCACCGATAAAACAGCTCTTCACGATCAGCAAGTTCTACAGCGGGATAGCTTCGAAAGTCCGTATTTTCAATTAATGTCTCGTTACACCACTCTCATCGAGCGAAAGGAGAGTAATTTATCGCATTCAATTTCTTCCAATGTTAATGAGCATGCGGTTAATTCAAGG